TTCCCATGACATTCCTATGCCTCTTTGGTATTATCCATATAAATATAGATATGAATAGACTGATTTAGGGGTAGACCATTAAAACACAGGGAGGTGATTTATTGCCCTCACCTTTAGCTGTGCATTCCTTCTCCCATTTCTCTTCATCCAGCGGTGGTGGTGTTATCAGAATTATCTTTTCCCTTAGTATACTCACTGTCAACAAATACTGCGCCATTTCCTGTCAGTGACATCAACAATCAGTAAACAGATTGTCAGCAGAGATTCACAGCAAAAAACACAACAAAAATGGTGTCCTACCAGGGTGTCACCATGGTTACAACAGGTAGTTAATTTTTACCTTTAGATTTGCCTTGTATTCCAACACTGGTACGTGTTGTTTTGGTGAACACTCCTCAAGTATAGCATCATTTGAACCAAGGAATATAACGACCACAGCGACCTCTAGTGAGATACCTTTCGTTATCAGTTCTGGTAAAATCTGTTTTGTCATGTGAGTGTTATAACCACTAAATCCACGGTTGTAAACATCACACTTCCTGTAAATATACAAACAAAGCAAAACTATAGATGCCTTGCCCATGTCTTGTCATGTGTAAATAAACAAGTTAGTGCTAGCAGCAACTAGAGGGAATCTCATTAGTATTTATTAAACTAGCTCCAGTCTGTAAAATATTTACTACGTATTTCTAATAAAATGATACAATCTCCCAAACAAGTTTATTCGCAGATCTGACACATACTTTGAAATGTAAGTAAAATCAATATTTTTTAGTCACAAAAGTGAACACACAACTTCCATGGTTGTTATGCCAACAAAAATACATATATGGATTTTTTTAAAATTACCTTTGAGAAAACCAATACTTGCTTACCTTGTCAGTCTGTGTGAGAGAGCTGCACCCCAACTATTGATGTTGTTATGCTGACCAAACGATTTCTACAAAAAGAATAAATTATAGCATAAAATCATCTAGTTAAATTAATAGTGCCCTCTAGTGATGAGATTTTGAAATGAAATAAGTCAAAGATACAGCATATTGCATGTGTGCATACTGTTTGCATGCCTGATATTGTGCTTCTGGGTGTACCAAACAACGTCACAAAAATAAAATTCCCAAATATCAATCTGATTTATTTTATTTTATTTTATTTTATTTTATTTTGTTAATTGCAAATGCCAAAACAAGGATCTGACCCAATGCCTATATAAATATCAGTCAAATCTTGTTTAAGCTACAGCCAATCACAGCTAGCCCTTTACATTGGCAATTACAATGTACAAGATCATGTTGCACAGCTTGGGTTCCATTCAATGGTTGGCCAGGGAAAATGACCAGAAAAGATGGTTACATACTGACTGGACTGACTGACTGGACTGACTGGACTGACTGAACTGACTGGACTGACTGAACTGACTGGACTGACTGGAACTGACTGACTGACTGACTGACTGGACTGACTGGACTGACTGGACTGACTGAACTGACTGAACTGACTGGACTGACTGAACTGACTGGACTGACTGGACTGACTGAACTGACTGAACTGACTGGACTGACTGGACTGACTGGACTGACTGAACTGACTGAACTGACTGAACTGACTGGACTGACTGGACTGACTGGACTGACTGAACTGACTGAACTGACTGGACTGACTGGACTGACTGGACTGACTGAACTGACTGGACTGACTGGACTGACTGGACTGACTGGACTGACTGGACTGACTGAACTGACTGAACTGACTGGACTGACTGATGGTGGAAGTAGCTGCTACGATTGACACAAAAATACAATTGCAAATTTTAAATTTCTTCGGCATAAAGAATTTA